ACGCATTAGTTAATTCTGACTAGCTACTTCATAGTTTGTTGAATCCTTTATCTTGAGCCTTAACGTTTGCAGAAATACTTAATATACTGGGAAGAAATTCCGATTTGAAAAATAATAGAATAAAATAAATACACCACTGTCGTTGATGAAGTGAAATCCTCTGTGGTTGAGGTGAAGCGAAGTGTTTCATTTACCGGCCCAAGGAAAAAAAAATCTACACCACATCACATGTGAAGCAGAACCGGAAGTTAATTTCATCTGATTTCATTGGCTTATCCTTTATCAACAAACACAAAAGGTGCATTTCATCACGTGGGGTGGCGCCAAAGTCCAATTGGGAAACATTTACAACACTCTAGTGCTAGTACGCGCTTGCGAAGTCAGTCAACATCAACAAATCGATACGAAAATTTTAAAAAAGAGTAATGATATCAAAACATATGTAACCGTCTTTTAAGTTACTTAAACATTTTTACAGGGTGTTTTACCATGAAATGCGTTAGCCGAAGTAAGTTAGCATATGTGATATTGTAAATAAACTTTTGTGAAAACTTTGTTCTTATATTTACTTCTAGGGGTGATGAATGGTCCATGAAAATTTTTAACTGTTCGCAAAATTTTACCTTTGCTCGATTTGCTCGCAAAATTTAAACGATCTAAACTGCTCGCTGCTCGCAAAGCAATTTTTTTTTATCTCTGCTCGTGCTCGCAAAAAAATCGCAGTGAACGGCATGCTCGCGAATGCTCGCAAAGACCATTCGTCACCCCTACTTCTTGTACTGTCAATATTATGCTGAAAAGCCCTTTTCTGATGCAGCTCAATAACGTCAGTGTTGGTGTGTACGTTTATACCCCGGCCATCGAACACCTCGTGTAAAAGCCTGATATACGTTTCTACCTACCGAGTGCAAATCTCTCTTCCAGCAGCCCTGAGATTGCTCTGAGTACTCATAATTCCAAACCTTCTACTCTTGTTGTGTTGTGTGCACGGTGAAATTGAAAGTTAGCCTTTTTTCCTGGGGTTAAGTTATTGGGCGTTATGGGGGTGGGGTAATAGGCTCCTGGTGTAAGCCAATCAGAAGCGAAGTATACCAGGAGCCTATTACCTCACCCCCAATAACGCCCCCAGGAAAGCTTTCTTTTGATTGACTGAGACGTATCCAAGACTACAAAAAATGTAAATTTGATCCCAAGATGGAATGAAATGCTTCTAACTCGATCAACTGTAGGCCTACTCTGGGACCTTAAGTCGCCGTAATTTCGTGTTGGCCGGCGAACAAAGCCTCACGGAAGAAATTTGCACCCTTTCCGTCAACAGAACACCATGATCTTTTGTCAGTCATAGCACGAAAGTGCTCGAGGGCCTCTTGCGTTTCGTGCTTTGCGTTCCTGATCCGGCAATTCATGAAATGTTATAAAAGACTAATATATAAACAATTTGTCCAAATATCAGGACTTTGTGGCCCGCAGTTTCTGAGTTATTGGCCGAAACATTTCACCCACCTTTCTAGAGCTTTGTACGGAGACGCCATATTGGTGGAAAGAAACTGTCAATATAGCCAATATGGTCGCCGGAAGACATCTGGAGTTCACTTTTTCAATTAACGCTCTTCCTTTTTATTCGAGAGCGAGCATACTTGAGCATAAACACATCTCTTAAAACTTGAAATGGTTAAACTGCTGAAAATCAAGAGGAGAGACTTTTTTCAATGGCACAGCGTTCCTATTCTGGTTTACGCACTGTGAAAGCTCAGAAGTTCAAATTGCTGTATTTTCGAAATGAAAGCTGCTTCGGGGCTGGAAACTTGCAAAACCATCAATACAAAGTTAATAAGTGAATAATAAACAATTTGATGGTAGAAAATTAAAGACAGATTCTTGAGTTCGAGTGAGTTATTTGCAAGGATCATCAATTATTGTGATAGAGGCAAATAAATGGTAGATGCCCTCAGGGCTCTCATCAGACAGAACGCTGACGAAACAACAGACTGAAGCGAGAAGTGTAGCGTGACCTGCTTGTCACAAAACAAAAAAAATGACGTAGGAGATAAAAGCGTTCTCCGATTGGTAACAGAAATACATAATTTTTTTCCAAGACACACAATTTCAAGAACAACAAAGCTAAACTACAAACAGGATTCTTTGAAGTTCAAACGTAGTTGCACAGTTGAATGGAGTTCACTGGGAAACTAAAGAGAATGGACAGACGACATTTTAAATGATTTGTCGGAGAAGGGAAAGCGAGTTGCATGTCAATATGTCTTGTGATGCCTTTCAGAGCGACACTTAACTTCCGCCATTGATTTGTTCAAAGCTGTAAATTTATGTTGGTCATCCTTGGATTTCCGCAGGCGAAGGAAACTAATGGTGTACTTTATCAGGCCAAGATATTACCCAACATGGCACGGAATAGCTGGACATTTTAATATTATAAAGTGAACTCAGTGAGAAACCGACTTGTGTGCATCTGCTTCATCACAAAACCTACAGAACCTGTCAGTTAAGTGGAAAATAACTTGCATCTGTCCATTTTGAAGATACATCAGTTGAACTTGAATTAAACACGCTACTAGCGCGGGTGCGTTAAGCAAAACATGAAGCAAAGGAAAATTATTAATCACTAGTCTACATTCAGATGATATGGACTGATATTTGGAGTTTTTTCACATTAAGCGATCCACCTGGAAGAAATTACCAAGGCTATGCTTTGAAATACATGTAGACAAAGAACGTTCAAGGTAAAGTTATCTTCAATTTATTCAGACTTAAGCTGTTTTCTTTAGATCTCTTTCACCACACAGTTAAAATGAGTTAGCTTGAACAGAGCATCGCTTTAAAAAGAAAATTAAAGTATCTTTAATTGATCATGTCTTTTACTCTGCACCACTGAACTTGGCTTCATTTTATCACAGTTTCATTCTAAAATACAAATATCTTTTTGGTAACGACTCATTGGTAATTATCAAGTTATTATTATTGATAATTATCAAGTAAATACATGGGAAAAGCTATCAACGTATGGGTAGGCGAACGATCTTTTAAACGTTACTTTTAAATAGCCGAGTGTTACTACTCGCGCCCGATACATGGCTCAGTGCTTGTTCTCTTTGTGTTTGAATCACACGAAAACAGTCTGTGCAGCTTATTTTAGTGAGAACCGTGACATGTCTATCTACTAATTTTGATTTGTAATTTTTTAAACTAGGAAATTCAAATTGGTTTGCTCGTAAACAGCACGGTTCATAATGCTGTCGTGATATATATATATCTCTGCACATTAAACTGAGCCAGACTAATTGCAAAATCTTATTTTATTACTATTTTAAGCGATTCCTTAATTTAAGTTCTTGCTATCTTCTTTTTGCATCTTTTAAGTGAATATTTTGCTGTCATTGGTTGCTTATCAACGTTGACTTGGTATTATTTTTATATATTCTGGGCGAAAGGGACCCCTTACCTCAATTTTTGCTCCAAATTAACTCTAAATGTTCATTTTATTTAGCATGCTTAGTGGTAGATGTTTTAAAAAATAAACCTTAAAAATTCAACCGAAAATGACCAATTATTTTTGTCTTGGACCGGTTACAATGCATGTTTGTATAAATATTGGCGCCAACTTTTAAAGGGCGCGCGGTCGCGCGCGGCACAGGAAATGAATTTTCCTTCGTTTAAGAGCTTAGCAAGTATGTGCTATTTTCTTTGTATTTTTTGTCCAGAATTTGTTCTTACACTCTCAAATTTCGAACTATTGTTCGTTCGTTTTCACAGCAAATAAGGAGGGCAATTGTACTGGAATATTCTTTCCAGGTTTCAGGTCTATAGGAGAACGTCTCAACTTGGCGCCGTGACGCAACCACTCCATCGACGCTATTGCTTGAAAAAACGAAATTCTGAAATGGCTCTCCATTTGCCCAAAATATTCTCGCAGGTTGCCAAATAATTTTTTACGACCGAAAACATTCACCCCAAAATGTTTTCCTTCTTATTCGGATGACACAAGAAAAACAGAGACGAAAGACAGGTTTCAGGTGGAACTGGAATAAAGAGTTTCAACTCCGCGACATAAACGAGCTGCACGTTCGGCTAAGGTATAATAAAAGTGGTAAAAGCCTTGTAAACCTACCGATTGTTTAAAGTTGTCCCAGTAGAGATACAAGGAACGCTTTGGAAACTCATACTTGCCAATCCTCGAATATAGTATAGGGGAAACCTTTTATGCAAAGCACACTAAAACGCTAAGGTATAATAAAGGTGTAAGGTAATAATAAAATAATAAGGTATAATAAAACTGGTAAAAGCCTTGTAAACCTACCGATTGTTTAAAGTTGTCCCAGTAGAGATACAAGGAACGCTTTGGAAACTCATACTTGCCAATCCTCGAATATAGTATAGGGGAAACCTTTTACAAAAAGTAAAATACAAGGCGGTAAAATAAAGTTGTTGTGGGATTTTTATGCAAATCATTTGGTGACCTTTTCATCTGATTGGCTGCGAGGCGGGTTCACGTTTCTGGTTGACTGCTAGTTTTAAAAGTTTCGATCAGTTTCGATCTTTGCTGGACTTGATAGTTTTTTGCCTTGTCATGTACGGCGTTTTCCCAGTCCCTCTCGGTCAATTCGTTTCGGTGACGTATCCTAAGCGAACGGGCGGGAAACACATTTTCGTATGGACCACGTGACCCGAAACGCTTTGGCCGCGAGGAAAAATGAGGCCTAGGGACTAGGCAATGGAAAACCTAGACCCGCCCTCCCCCCCAAATCACTTCCCCAAATCAAGGATGGGAAAATGGCGCGTTGTTGCCCTTCGCGCGGCTTCATCCTTGATTTGAGGGGGATGAGGGTTTGCTCTTCCATTTTATTTTGTCCAAGATCGTAGCCTGCTGGAGAAACGGATGTTTTCGCAGGCTAACTCATCTCCAGGGTCTTCTCGTTACTGGAAAACGGATGAGGTTGAAATGAAAAGTTGCAGTGGCGTCCGTACCGTCCCAAAAATTTGCCATTATGAGGCTACACCGATTGCACATGTTGATATTATTCTTATTTCTTCCTAATCGCAACGCCTTCGCCTCGATTAATAAGAGAATCGTTCTGGCACAACCCACTGTCATTTTGGTATCGTATGATGGTTTCCGGTGGGACTACATGGCGAAAGTTGATACTCCGAATTTGAATTTTATCGCAAGCAATGGCATCAAAGCGAAACACCTTCTCAATACCTTTGTTACCAAGACATTCCCGAATCATTTCACGTTAGTTACAGGACTTTTTGAGGAAAGCCATGGGATCGTAGCAAATACGTTTTTCGATCCTGTTTTCAACGACACTTTCTACTTAGATGCCGTGTCAAAGCATTACTTGGATTCAAAATGGTGGAACGGAGAACCGGTGTGGATCACGAATCAAAAAGCTTTTAAGAAAAGTGCTGTGGTGTTTTTGCCTGGTTCAGAAGTGAAAATAGAAGGCCAGTACCCTACACACTATTTACCCTATAATCGGTCACTTTCCTTCTAGAAACGACAGATTATTTATGTACAATGTTAGAGCAGGATGATCCTCCAAGCTTTAATTTTTGGCCGCTTATTTTAACGAGCCAGATCACAGTGGGCATAAATTTGGCCCTAATTCACCAGAGATTAAAAGTGTTATTCGTAGAATGGATAATGTCACTGGATATCTGTTGGAAAGTTTACGAAATCGAGGATTGTTGAATCAGGTAAGAAAATCTAATCTTAAATAACAACCAAATCAATCAGTTTACTCAGCTGACGACGATTGTTTCATCAACAATTACGTACGCGATGATTAAGTTTATTTAAGCTTGACTAGACTATCGGTGTGTCAACCATCACGGAGCCCTTCCACTCCTTGCCGTTGTGCACTGCTGGCCTGTGTCATAAACAAAACTAAATCTCTGGTTCAGTCTGTCTGCATGTCTTTTGTTCTGGCTGACCCCGCTGCGTATCAGGATTGGAGTTCAGTCGCATGTGCTATGATTGACCCATAAAGAAGCCACTGTTGGATCAGCCAATCTGGTTGGTAATTTGTTGAGTCCATTGTGGTTCCAGAAGAAGGATCCCAGCACTGCTTCACAGAACTCACTAACTGGATTTAGATTACATCGGTGATCCAGGATACTTTGTGCATGACCAGATAATACCCAATGCCTAGGGTCATTAACTACTAGAGCCAATGGTGATGCTCCATCAGATGTCAACATGATGGAGTTTTTGTTCAGAATATCCCATTCACACTCCCAGTGATTCTGTTACCTCTGCGTTGTGCATCTTTGATGCATGAAAATCCCTTGGAAAGATGCAAAATAATTCGTGGCGTGCGTCTTGTGGGATTCAAATAATTAAGGTAGATTGTTTGATCTGAGGATGCTTTTGTAGAATATCCTGTTCGTGTGATTTCTGTGGCTCCTTTGTTGCTTCTTTTTAACAATGAATATTGTTTTGTCTTTGTTATGCTTTACAATAGAAGGAGTGTATTTTTAATTCAGTAAACTGTAATACAGAGTTTTGGAGTCAGATTAACTGTCTGATTACATTAAGGCCCAATTTAGAATTCTTTGTTTTTTCAACTGGGACTCATTGGTTCTGGACTAAGACTCATGATTTTTCACAAGATGAGTCCCAGGACTCACCATAACTCATAACTTTTGTAACAAAATCACTACACTCCTGGAAATTTTGCTGAAAAACACCTTTTAGAGCTAGTTGGGCCATTTTCTGGTTGCTCTTCTCCAAAAAGGAGCAAAACTAGGTGGGTGCTCTCAGCACTGTGCCACCCTTGCTTCCCAACTTTCCCTTTAAAGACTGTTTAAATCTAGATGAGTTTTAATGTATAATAGCTATAATAGTACACATGCTCTCTCATTATTTTCTCGTAATGTCTGCGCATTACTAGCTGGCTGTCGAAGGAATATTAAATCTGTGCTTAACTTGATAGTGGAAATCCTTATAGCCTGAGTATTAGGCCTTCCCCCAGAAATGCCTGATACTCAGGCTAATATCCTTATGGACATCCATGTAATAGTTAATTGACAGCTGTCAAATAGGGTATCCACTGACCAGTGTCACATGACTGTATTGCTAGGTCAAGTGTACGACTCATTGCAGTGACGTGTATTTTTTTTAAGTTATCCATCTGTTGGTTTTGATTGCAGGCTCAGGTCCCTAATAAAAAGGCCTTATAATAAATAACTTATTTTCGTCCCTTTGGTCAATACAGGAAAATGTCTGACCTTAGTCTGAGATTTCCCTGTAATGACCGAATGGACAGGGTTAATAAGTGGTAGTTATTGACTTTGAGGGGAAGTCAGCACTCCAGCATGCGTGCTTCTAGCTTTCTTTGAAGTGCATGCAACTTTTAAAATTTGTGTGTTGTTGTCAATGGTATGGGATGCTTGTAACAGCCATTCACTCTGATGAAGGCCAGTACAGTTGGTCAAAATAGGCGAAGGATGAAAAAAACATACTGTTTTGCTCTTCATTTTTGGTACTGGATTTATTCATTTATGAAGAGAATGTCTTTAAGTAAATGCTTGTGATATGTTATATATATGGTAAGATGTAGTAACTCTTTACATGTTCCATAATATTATTATTAGGTAACAACTCATGGATCTAAATATATTTCCATTGTATTTTTATGACCCATTTTAGGTAAACCTTATTATCCACAAGCGACCATGGGATGGCAGATGTCAACAACTCCCATCTTATCCAGCTGGATTATTACATTCCATCAGACTGATATACACTCATCACTGATCCAAACAGGGCAGACCATGCTTCAGATGTGTTTTTTCATATCCTACCTTAAGAAAGGAAAGTTGAATGACACTTACCAAAGGCTCAAGACTGTTCCACATCTACATACATACCTTAATTAAAGAAGAAATACCTGAAGAGTTTCATTACTGGCATAACCGACGTGTCATGCCGATTTTCATTGTCACAGAAGAAGGATGGACCAGTACAAAAAACAACTTGAAAATTGACAGTGGTGGTAACCATAGCCTGTGTGGCAGGCGCAAAAAGCGAAGGGGGAGGGGGGAGGGAGAAAGGAAAAAGGGAAGGGAGCGCCTGCTCTAAGAGCCTATGTTTTTGCATAACGCCTACCAATTTTCTAGTAATCCGATTACGCTTACTGTCAATCAAGTCTCGCTACACTCGCCATTGCAGAAAAACATTACACTCACAGACTAAAGAAATTCGCTTCGTTATTCAGATCCAGAAGGCACTTTGGAGAAAATTGGAACCCTTATTCAGCCGTAATAAAAAAAGCTTTACGCTTCAAAAGAGGTCAAAGAAATTGCGCTTGCATCAGAGGGCAAATCCTGCCGACCAGAAAACAATAACTACAGTCAATCGATATGTATCTCATGACCTCTCAGTGTGAAACATGCGGTTAAAATAACATTTGCTCAGTATAAATGCAGAACCTTCCAGAGCATAATCTACCCAGCAGATAAAAACAACTTTATTGGAATAAGCAGCATTTTGGCATGAGGTAAAACCACCCTCTTTTATTGCTAAGTTACATTAGCCAATGTCATCGTTCGATAAATTGGCTAAATCTTTCGCTGGGTAGCCCAACAATTCCATCTCCTGCAACTGGTCTTCGATAATACTTTTCAGTGGCTAAATGACGAGAATCGCCGCATTGCCATTTAGCACGTAGTTCTTTGCGCGTACAAACATTTGGTAAATTAAACTCTTGCTGTATCCGGTCCGCAAAACCGCCAGAACATCTCTGTCGGCTAAACGAGCCCTTACTGCTGATTCTTGCTCTGGTTTTAAAACAGTTTCTCTACCACTAGATAAATTCATTCACATCTCTGCACTCTCTACGACAACCACGTCTACCGCTGCCATCTCGACTGTTTGTTGATTAATGAAACGCACATTTCAATATGTTACTCATTATGGCTCAGCCAATCAGGAATTTGTGGACGACAGCGTCCGCAGATATGAACAAAAGGGGGTTATTAGAGCAGGCGTCCCCTCCCCCTCTCCCCAACCCCCCTCCCCTTTTTCCCTTCCTCCCTATCCCCTACCCCTACCCCTTTCGACGCCTGCTACGCAGGCTATGGTAACCATGGCTACAGTAACCAATTCCCTGATATGCACCCCTTTTTTCTTGCCCAAGGACCTGCATTCAAAGAAGGCTTTGTTTCAGAACCATTTGAAAATGTGAATATATACTCTCTTACGTGTCATTTACTGGGCATTGAACCAATGCCAGACAATGGCTCATTACAAGCAGTGCAGCATCTGTTAAAGGAACACAAACACTATTATACAGTGTTGATAGTAGTCAGTGTAATTTCTGTTTAGTTCTTTTGTTAATGAGTTATGGTATTGTCTCATTTTGTGTCAAAAATCATTGTAGATTATTTAAAGGCAGTATGGCCATATATATGACTTAGGAACATCAGAATTGTTTGATTTGTAGACACTTCCATGTGGAGCTGTACCACAGTTTTCTAGTTCATTTTGCTAATATTGCAAATATTAAATGTCCTTCCTCAGAATGGAACTTAGCTTCAATACAAAATTATTGGTAAATTACAAAAATACAACTTTAAGTTGAACTGGATATGTCTCCTGGTCAAAAATTATAATGTTACAGACCACAAAACATTTGAAAGACTGTTCTCTTTAAGTTTTGACCTGTTATTTTAATGTCTCACTCAATTAATTATTTGGTGGCAGCTCCCCACTGTTTGAATTTTAATAGATTTCATGACCCATCTCCCTCCTTTACAATAACATAATAATAAGTTATTTGACCTGAGTGATATCAAGTAAACCTAAATAGTATTATAATAAATTATTTATTGATTAGTTTGAAAGTAATGATAATATTGTCAATATCCCATATTGGTCCCAAGGCTATGCTTAAAACCTCAGCCCCCAAAGGCCCCTATAGTGTTGCTTTAAAAAAAGCTACTTGGAAATCTCTTTTGTTTTTGCATAAAGATCATTAAATGCTGGGTTCCCTGTATTTCACAGGCTCCCTACAATTTTTCCACAGAGCCCCGCCCCATCATGATAGTAAGATTTGTTAGACTATAGAAATTTATTTTAATTTTTTTAGAGAAAATTATTTTTTTATATCTGTAAATTTTAAATCTTTTTTTCCTGAATTTTGTATTACAAAAATTCTTACATGATGTTGTGTTCGAGTATTTCTTGTAAATGTTATAAATTAAGTATAAAAAGTGTACAAAGTATGTACAATTTAGTAGACTCTCACCTCTAATGAGTGTATTAGTGTAACTTAAAGTTAACTTGTCACCTCTTTTGCACATTTCTCATCAATGAAATCAATTTATCTGTATTTACCTAAATATGTCTACTCTTGCACCTTTTGTCTTTACTCTTGTTTCATCGTTTATTTATGTAAGGAAGTGCTTTAATGTTTGCTTTTATAAACGACTATTGGAGCTAATAATTTAATATATTGTAAGCTTACATATCCAATTAAATTGGGAGCAAGTATTTGTACAGTGCAAAGGTATTGTGAAAACATGATTTATTGTAAAGCAATTCAACATTTTGGTTCTTTTTAGTTTATTCACTCATTGGTTGATGGGCTTTACTCAGTCCTGTTACCGTTAAGACTTATTTATTGCCTGGTTCACTAGCCTAGCTCGATTGCTAATTTTTACTTGTCAGCCAAAAGAAAAAAACATTTT